CCTAGTAATAGGGCGAACTCAGGTAGGCCGGGAAGACAGAACAGAATTCAGAGAGGAAGAAGGCAGTGTGGCAGATGCCATGGCTCTCCTCTCTGAGATGGACTCTGGTTAGACTCATGCCGGTAAGCCACAGTCAAGTGGCAATACACATTAACAGAAATGGGTTAAGATGTGAGAGTTAGCCAATATGAGGCTAGAGCTAATGGGCCAAGCAGCAATTTAATTAATACAGATCTCCGTGTGATTATTTCGGGCATAAGCTAGTTGGGCGGCAGGAAGCGGCCCACTGCTCCTTTTACAACACTTCTCTTCTTCTCCCCTGTCTCTTTCCCCTCCATAACCCACTAAATAATTACCTACTTTCTCTGTGTGGTGTCCCCTATCCGGCTCTGTCTCTCACCAGCTGTGCCTTGTAGACCTCTGCCCTCTGCTGCCCCTCTGGAAAAGACATCATTTTATTTTTACCTTTACAACTGTTCTTTTTGAAATGTTTTCTGTGGAAAGTTTTGCTCTTTTTCACAGTAGACCCAAATGTAGTCAGTGACAGTGCACCATAGCCCAGATGCTCTCCTGTTTTGATATTTTTCCACCAAACAAATTCCTCTACCGTTACCTTTAATGTCAACCTTATTTCAATTTACATTTACAGTTTGGTTCTTTGCCGGAAAATCACATGAATGGCCCTAGCAGAGTCTGATATTCTTTGTTCTTCTAGGAAACCTCCTGAGCCAGGCATCCACTGTCTATTTCTCTCAGCAGTCTTGTCGTCCAGGATCCCAGGAGAATGGCTCATTAGGCTCTATTTACAATATTCAAGAGCTTTTTTAGCCATTGTTCCAGATTCTTTGACATTCTTCTCTCAGGCTAGTTACAAAGGCAGAAGTGTCTTGTGATCAGGTTTATCAAAGCAAGAACCCATCTTTTGATACAAATTTTCTGGGTTTGCTAATCTCCTCATAGTTGTAACAAAAAAAAAAAATACCTAACCAAAGCAATTTATGAAAGGATTTCTTTAATCAGACAGTGCTAGGGGAAACCCATGCTGTTGGGAAGGTGTGGTGGCAGAAAAGGGAGGCTTCTGGTCACGTGGCGTTGCGGTCAGGCAGGAGAGTGAAGAGTGTTGTGTTCAGCTTCCCTTTCATTTTTATCAGGTCCAGAATCTCAATCCATGGAATGGTCCCACCCATAATTAAGGTGGGTCTTCCTACTTCAGTTATCTCGCACAAGAATGTCTCCAGGTGGTGGTTGCACCTTTAATCTCAGCACTCTAGGAGGCAGAGGGAGGCAGATCTCTGTGACTTCAAGGCAAGGCCAGCCTGTTCTATAAGAGCTAGTTCCAGGACAGGCCCCAAAGCTACAAAGAAACCCTGTCTCGAAAAACAAAACAAAACAAAACAAAAAGTCAGCCAGTACCTAATCTCATCTAGTTCATCCTAGATTTATATGCCCAAAATCCAAAGAAATCTAAATAATCCTTCACAGGTGTGCCTTGAGGCTTTAGCCTAGGCAGTTCTAGCTCTAGTCAAATGTAAAGCCAAATCAAATGTTACATGTTTATTCTTAAAAAAAAAAACAGAATAACATGGTGTGATTTATACTGATATCAGCATCACTCTACTCTACAGAAACCAACAGTGGCAGTAAGCTGGAAGTAGGAAACCACAGAGGTGACTAATGGAAGGCAGGAGGTAACTCTGTCCTCTGTTGGGAGAGTGCTTACATAATGTAAATGAAGCCCTGGGTAAGAACACCACCACTACACAAATCCTGAATATACCCCATATCCTGTCACTCAAAAAGTAAAGTATGGGGTTCAGAAATTGGAGACTACGTAGCCAGTTCAAGGCTAGTCTGAACTACATAAGACGATGTCTCAAAATGAACAAAGCAAAATGAAGCAGGCAGAACAATGACCTGAACAAAATCTTTCAAAACGGTGGAATGCTGTCTTCGTAGTTTTCACTATATTTCAAATTAAGGCAAACAAGATGCTGTGGTTTTATCAGTAAGGTGCAGAAGAAAGATATTTACCTAAACTAAATTTCACTATTTAATATTTTAAAATCACTTCACTAATATTCTAATCAGGGATTTATTTAAAGGGAGCCAGGCTATAGTCACCTGTTTCTAAACACAGGCGTGGCAAGCTCAGGGTAGGGTGTAGTAGTCAGGCCATTTCACGTAGGTGTGGTTTTATGACCTCTTTTCTATGCTGAGTCAAAGCTGAGTCCTTCCCAAGTGAGAGAGAGAGAGAAAGAGAGAGAGAGAGAGAGAGAGAGAGAGAGAGAGAGAGAGAGAGAGAGAGAGAGAGAGAGAGAGAGAGAGAGAGAGAGAGAGAGAGAGAGAGAGAGAGAGAGAGAGAGAGAGAGAGAGAGAGAGAGAGAAACTATCAGCGAAGCAAGTCCAAGGTTATTGGGCTTGCATTTGTTCCTGGGATATCCCCAACACACAGCAAGCTATGACGTGTATAGTTTCCACTGTGTGGGCAACGGGAAGGAACGATGTTGGGTCAGAAAGATATTATTAGAGAGAGTATTAATATACTTTTTCTTTGAAAGATTTAAAGATTGCTATTAAAGTCTTCAATATACTATGCGTACATATGTGTCTGTTGATTTAACAGATTTGTATATGACAGCGGTGACTTAAAATAAACAAATCTTATTTCAATATAGAGCTTGTTAGTGTCCCAAACCTCAACTGCCTTTAAATAGACCTTGTTCTTTGCAGAAGGAGTCATATGCACAAGATGTCCGGATTGAGTTTGGCCATCAACTAAATACAATGGGTGCCAGCCAGACTGAAACATATCAACTGGATATCAGCCTGCTTCAAAGTATGGGAGCAGCAAGCTATTAGAGTGCCGAGCATCAGTGGTACATATTTCTATTTTATCTTTATTGTAATGAGCAAGCCCTGTCTTTAGCTCCCGCTGTGCACTTTTGGAGGGTCTTCCATATGGTTGCTGCTAAGTACTTGGCATTTTCCCAACTGTTACAATTGGGTCAGTGGGGGGGATCGCTTAGGAGTAATAAAATAAGGGTGACTGCAGCAGGGCGGAGTGAGATTCCTACCCACGTGGCAGCTTATTGCCTCTCACGCATTCAAGCACAGCTCTCTGGCACTCATTACCATGGGCAGCCAGGGTAAGCATTTTCCACCAATGGCGGTTCCATGAGAAAAGACCAAGCGCTAGGCACAGTATCTCTCCTCCATTATATTTCCAGTTCTGTTTATTTTATCGTCTAAAAATGACTAAATAACTCGAGGAAGGAAGACAAGTGTACCTTGCCAATTTATGTTGTTCCCTAAACGTTTTCTTAACAAACTCTTGGCTAAATTTGACTAAGAATAGCAGCTGCATGGGGTTATCAGTGTTCCTGGGGGTTTTCATGTTTTATGAAGTTAAAAAAAATTGTAGAAGGCAAATCTGATGAGCCTCAAAACTTAAATATTCCTGAGATACAATTCATAGATTCGGGAATACTAGTAGCACTTTAAGGTGTATTTTACACCCAAAATCATATCTATAAAAAATGTTGTAATCATTACTATTATTAAGTACTAATAATTGAACCAGGGCCTAGCATAAAGCTTGAGTTTTATTGAACAACACCTCCAGATACAGTTTCTTTTTTCTAATTCCATGAAAGGCAGTGTTGCTACATAGGAGATTTAGAAGGAAATATGTTCAAAACAAAATTATGATTGTAAACAGAAATAATGCATTAAGCACAGAGATGTACACATACATATTCACGTACGAGATTTTCCATATTTACACATTCAAGAATTTACATAATTAAGCTCTTGTTTAGAATAGCTTGGAGAATTTTGTTATCAAATATCAATCTAGAGCTATATACCTTTTTTTTTTAATGTGTGTGACTGGGTGCTTTTTCCTGGGCCATTTATTTGGCATCTAGAAAGAGTTGGCCACGTTTAAAAAGAATAGAAATATGAGTAGACTTTCAACCTTGTTTCCGGTCAAGAGCATTAAACAATAGCGCTGCATGAAGAAACTTGTTCGTCACGCCTTTCCTGGCCAAACAATCTCCAGACCCCAGATCCCCAGAGACAGAGGCAGGCTGGTGGAGGCACCCGGAACGGGGCAGCAGGTGAAGCTGGGTCCCGGAGGAGGCTGTGCAGGAGGCAGAAGACATTGGCGGGTGGGGAGTCCGGGAAGATCTTCTGGGGCAAGCCCTGTAGAGCACTCCCGGAGCACCCCCAAATCTCCCCCCCCCCCCCGCGCACTGATGGATGGCGTGGGAAGTCCCACTGACTGACAAGTCCGCAGTCCCCAACACGTCCCCGCGATCCCTAATGCCAGCAGCCTGGAGCCAGGAGGAAAGCTCTGGGCAGGTGTCACACGTCCTTGAGGTCAGCCTGGAATCCAACCGAGCACGGGTCGGACTCGGAGACACCTGCCGGGCCAGCCTGGGTCCCGGCTGGTCGCGACCGGGACCCGAGATGAAGAGCGGGCAGCCTTCGAAGTAAGGGCAGCTCTGCGGCTTCAGACGCGCAGTGCGCAGGCGTGCCCGCCGCATGCGCAGGCGCCGCCTAGAAGTGACTTCTCCAAAAAGTGTCTTAGTTCCCGGTCACCTGAGCGCCCAGGACGCGTCCGCGGGAGCCTCGCCGAGCCACGCCTGTCGCAGCTCGGATCCCGAGACCCGGCCCCTGCCCCTCACCCGCTGCCAGCCGCCCCCAGCCCCAGGCTCCGTCCTTCCCGCTGTCCCTTCCCCAGAACCCGGCCGGACCGAACCGGGCCGAGCTGGGCCGCCCCAGCGCGGCCGCTCACCATGGCGTCCCTCTTCAAGAAGAAGACCGTGGACGGTGAGTTCAGGGCCCGGCTCCTGGATCCCGGGATCTGGGGCTCCGGCCGCGGCTCGCCGCTGTCCCCGGGGGGTGGGCCCAGCTCGGCCGCCCCACAGGTGACCGTGGCTGTGTCACTGCGGCTCCGCAGCCTCACCTGGGCGGCTCGTCCTTCCGATGGCACTCACCTCACCCTCGTTTTCTCCTCCGCTCTCTTTCCCCCCCTTTCAGAGGGATTGTGAGCCCTCCGAGGAGGCCGAGCAGCGCTGGCTCTCGGGTGTCGTTAGACTTGGAGACTTGATGGATGTCTTGTTGCTTTCTCCCGCTTGTTTGTTGCTCCTTCCGTGGGGACATCCCACTTCCTGACCTCAGAAAGGGAAGCCTGTGTGTTTGGTGGAGCTGCGGGGTTCACTTAGGAAATGAACTTGGGACCGGGCTGGCTGTACCTTTACCTCAGCAGTTTACATAGGAAAGACTCCAGCAGAAAAACAAGACCAAGGAAAGGGTCCGGGTTTAGCGATCATAGTGCAGAGTTGTCCTTTATGATTATCTTTTGCCAGCTAAGTGAGGGATGTGTAGTTGGCATACAAGTTCGCATTTTTAAAAACACATTGTTTCAGGTGGCTCAGTGCCATCTTGTGAAGAGGGGCGAAGTGAATGTACTGGAATGTACAAGTTTAGTGGCAGTGGTGGCCTGTATAGATTATACGTGACAGTCGCCTCAGGTGTTCAATTCATACCAAGTTATTTAAAATCTGCTTTTCTTTGCACGTCGAGCCCAGGTTGTTGTTGGCTCAAGCAAATAATCACGCCTTTGTAAGGGTCTAACCCAACCAGCAGTGGTAGCTAGACTGTGATTGGTACAAACCCAGAGCTCAGCCCTGAGTTGGGGGTAACTCCTTCATTTCTTTGTGTTCACTGTTCCAATGCCAGATTTGGGGGAAGGGTAACAAAGACACCATCTCTACCTTACTACGTGACCTTTCATTTCAACACAGGGAGTCATATTATCTCCATCAAACAGCATGATGCAGTTTAGCTGCTTCCCTGTGACTGATTTTTTTTTTCTCACTATTTTGACTTCTTACTAATTGAGAAACAACATTGTCAGCTTCTGGAATAGCTACTAACTTGTCACGTGATGTAACACAATTGCATGAGATGGGTTTTATATGTGGTTTCCTGAGAGTATTGTTTCACCTTTAACATGACACTTGTTTTCAGTGCTTCGGTACAAGAATTGTGATACTCAGTTATTGTACTCTACTCCCTCCTGGATTATTGCTATTAATGTTTTATGTAGGAATAATCTTTAATATATACACAGTCACTATAATTACATATAGTGATAATGAGAATTTACTGAGCAACAGAAAAGGTGGGTTCCTCTCCCACCTTGATGCCACAAATTAATAATTTTTAAAAGTAAAAATTTGAATGTTGTCTTAATTGCTTAATATCTGTTAACTATTTTCAATGACGAGTTTCAGTTTTGTGCTTTCTGGTATTTGTGACTGCCTGGTGACTCACTTAGAGGAAGGGAGAGAGATAATGAAGATAACAGGGATGAATATGAGATATGACTGCACACTCATTTGCCGTTGACATAGTCTTAATAGACTTAAAAGAAGTTTTGTTTTTTTTTCTTTCTTTTTTTTTTTTCTTTTCCTAGGTGTGGTACCACTAAATTAAAATGTGTGTGACATTTCTGAATGTAAATTTGGACCCGGTGAACAATTACTCCATCTACCAACTTGCAGACCTGATATTAATTCAGTTCATTTACTCCTGCCTTAATTGTGGATCTACATTTTCATCGTTTTGCTTTAAAGCTAGCTTTACGGATGTTTGTTTCCCCTGTTAAAGGAAATGAAAGGGCTCTTGTTTGGTATAAAAGGTGACAGCCCTCCTCTCAGTAGTGAGACACCATGTAATGGAATTTAATGTATTTTTATGCATTTCCCTCAATTCCCTGGGCACATTATCGATCATAAGATCTTTTACTGTATGCTGACTTTGTTTCTGTTGTAACAGTAATGAAATTCTGATATATAAGGGAAATAAGTAGCTGGTTATAGATCTGTGGAATAATTGAATCTTTTTGTCTCTGGATTGGCTGGAAGAATTATATACTGTATCGTTAAAGACTACTGCACATGTAAATTCAAAAGGGAGACAACATTATAACACATTACTATTCAGAGTTATGTTTAATTCATTTTGACACAGAGATTAGCAAGTCTCTGCAGTGTGCACTTGGTTACAGAAATTAATGAGAGGTGTATCTCAGTGCCACTGAAGAGGAGGATTCCTTCCAATTGGAAGTTACAACTGAGCCCTTGCTTTTTCCCTTTCTGAGTTGTATTATATGTATATGTGCGTTTTATAATCTGTTCATTGTCAGTGCTTTTACATCTGTGTGGACAAATAGTAGCCTATTTATTGAAGGGAATCATGAACCGGTTCTGCCAGCATTCCATCAGTACTTGTCGTAACTGGGTAACCATTTCTGCCATTGAACAGTGCGGTGCTGGGGGAGAGGGGTGGAGCTAGGAGGAGTGAATGGGTAGACAGGGCAGTGGGTTTGACCCCAGAGCTGGAAAAAGCAGTGGCCTTCTGTTTTATTTGCTTGAGATAAGGTCTCTAAATGTAGCCCATCATGCCGCTGTGACCTACTACCTCAGCTTCCCCAATGGGCACTGCCAGGCCTACAACACGAGGCCCAGTTGAAATGGGTATCTTAAGTTATTGAAACACTGTAGTTTTTACCCGAGATCTTCCATGAAGACAAGTTTCTGAACTGTCTATAAGCCAGTGCTGTGTTATATGTACGCTCTGTGTATGCTATGCTTATTAAGTTCTCACGGGGCCTATGATAGAAGCTGTGCTATTGCCACCTTTGTGTTGAGGGGAAATTGAGAACAGAGCTGCCAAGTGAGTTGCTCGGGATCAAAACTGTGCTAAGTAGCAGAAGTTGGAGCCCATCCTTCTAAGTCTCATCATTGCTATGTTTTTCTTAGACATTAATCACTTGGCATACAAACAGTGATCTTATTAATATCATGAAATTGTCCATTTGTTTTTTTTAATCTTACCTATAAGCTGGATTGTTCTCTTTGAATTAATAATAAAAGTTTAATTTCCATATTGGAATTAACTTCTTTGAAGGCCCCTGTACCTTAACATTCTGAGACTCTCCTGGCCTTCATGTCAACCTCTTGGAGAAGTGATGTATCATCTCAGCTTACTTCTCAGACTGCCTGCCTCCTGCATTCTCAGCAGCCTGTGCTGTGTATCATGATGTGATACAAAATGCTTTCTTCTGGCTTTTAGCATCCAATACTAAAAAAAGGTGTGTCTTCGTGCATGCGTGTGTGTGTGTGTGTGTGTGTGTGTGTGTGTAATTGCCACATGTTTGCAGGTGCCTGCAGAGACCAGAAGAGGGTGCTGATCTCCTGGGTCTGCAGTTATAGGCACTGTGCAACATGAGTGATGGGAACTGAACTTGGGGCCTCACTTTCCAGCACCCAGTGCTCTTTTAACTTCCCTTTGGGCTGGGATTTTGTGTTTGCTTGAGTTTTTTTTGTTTGCTTGTTTTATTTTGTTTTGTTTAACTATCCCTCAAAATAAGGGATTTATGTTGGGTCTGTCTTGGGCAACCATTGTATAATCTCTTGCTATATCAGCTACTTTTCACATTACTTATAATTTACATTCTATTATACCTAACATTTGTTTTTCTATTTTTGTTTAAAACCAGTATATGCGATAATCTGCTGACTGTCTGTATATGGTTTTCTAAAGCAGCAGAAATCAGAGACCCCAAATGGAACTTTATTCCCTCTTAAAATTTTCTCCTTCCGCGGCCGAGTCTGCCAGGGTGATTAGTGCTCCTTCCTTCAACAGATCACTGAGTCACTAATTATTATGTCTTCTGCTTTGTCCTGTGTGTGCCTGCAGCCCTTGGTCTAATTCAAATCCTGTCTGTTTTACACTTCAGAACAGATACCTTCCACTTTAATTTCTTGCTGCATCTCAGCCCTTTTATGTCCTTTAGCTGCAAAGTTGATTGTGTGATTGTTTTATGGCAACTCAAATCTGTCTGCTTCTCCTCAGAGTCCACTTTTTCAATGAATCTCTGCTACCTAGCAGCAGTAAACCTTTTCAATAATGCCTGCCTTCCCTTGTTCTGATAGCTTTCATTTTTGCCACGTCCTAGGCTCATCATCCTTCATCAGTGTTCTACTATTCTTCAGTATACTGAAAATCAGTCTTTTTCATCCTGACATATTTTTACTTAGGATCCCCATGAACCAAGAATTCTCTTTCCCACCAGTTTTTGTCCTTCAGGAAGTCTTCCCTGATGCTAACTACAAAAATACTACATCACCTCAGTTTGTACAGCTTGACATCTGCATCCCACCCATCCTTCACTGGAACTCAGCTTCTTTTGTACTACCAAAGATGGCTTATTCTAAGTCTTTCCTGCCTTCCATATTGGCTTCAGTCTTCAGCCATATTTAAGTATTTCTCTAGGAGTTCATAGTTAGCTGGCACCACCCTAATGCAATATCACTAGTGTTGGTACCCGAGGCCCTGAGCCTGTGATGTGTGCATTAGTGCCACTACTCACTGTGAGCCCTGCAGTGAGCTTGAAGAGTGCTCTGCAGGGAAGGAGCTTGGCTTCTGCCTTCTTGGATCACCCGTACATGCTGGTTACCCACAACTGGTGGGTTGTGACTGAGTGGGAATAAATCTGACAAGAAGTCTGTTAATGGTCCCATGTTTATGAACCATTGAGAAAGAAAAGCAACTTTATCCATTTCAGAAAACTGTCTTTCTTTCCAGAAAAAAAGACAACAGTATTGTGGTACTTACAATACTTTGTAAGTCTTCCTTTAGTGATTATTATTCTGAATATTTTAGATCCCACATTTTACACTCTACCCTACATTCTTGACATAATAAAGAAAAACAACTATGTGTATGTGGGATTCAATGTATAATATGCTTGTCACACAATTTTTCTTAACTGGTTTTAGGCCAGCGTGAAGAAACAGCCTCTGATGTTTCCTAACCTTATCAAAAGTTCTCCGCATTTGCAGAAGAAATAACACTAGGAAAATGTCTTCCCTTTGGTTTCCCCTCCCTACCCACTTCATGACAAGAGCAAATGAGACTTGGTTTGGTGGTACTTGTCTATCCCAGAAGCTTTCCTTAGTGCTTAAAGAGGCTGAATTTTTAAAACTTTGTTAGAATGGATTCCTCAGGCTTTGATGACTTTTGATACTTATGGTAGATGGAATAAAAATTTGCCTCCTATGCTGCCTTTGTCTTTGTGTCTCCCATTTTGTCTACCTCTTCCTTCCATACAAGTCCTACTGTTTCACTTCAAGCTATTTCGTTTTCTTTTTCTTTTTTTTTGAGCTAATTTACCTTGTAAATAATAGGGTTTCATTATGATATTTTTGTGCTTGGGTCATATCCGTCCCCATTCCCCGCATTTATCATTCCTCAGATTTGTTACCTGAGTTGTTTATCTCCCTTGGCAGGAGTAAAGCTGTTGGCATGACCCTCTCCTGTCCTGAATCTTACAATCATTTTTGCTTTTGCTGTACTATGTATTAGAATGTAATTAAGGGGACATTGCCCTCCAAGATGTTGTTCTATACTGTTCCTAAAGCCAGAGAAATCAATTTGATTTGCTTGCATGTGAATTTCTGATTCTTCCTCACTGTTACTTTCCTGCCTGACTCAGTCTGCTTTTAGACCCTTCTAGAAACTGACCTTTAATGTTTCCCCCCTTTTATTCTTTGCTTTTGAATGTATACCACTTCTCAAGGTTTCTTCCTCTCACTGACTCCAGAAGACAGTAGATCTGCATACTCGGGACCCATTTTCACTGTATTGTTTGCCTAATTCTACCAATGTTTAGCTAACGCACATTCAGGGCTTCTGTCCACAGATATTACTGGGCTTTGGGCAGTACTAGTACCACTGCCCTGATGGCTGCTCGCAATGTCCTCGAGGAAAGCAGAGTGGAGGGATAGTTCATGGTTTTTAAGATTTATTATTATTTTATGTTATGAGTGTTTTACCTGCATTTATGTACGTGTACCGTGTACAAGCTTAGTACCTACAGAGGTCAGAAAAAGGGCATTAGAACCCCTAGGACTATAGTTACAGATAGTTGTGCTGCTGGGAATGAAACCAACATTCCCTTTAAGAGCAACAAGTGTTCTTAACCACTGAGCCAGCTTTCCAGCTCAGATAGTTAAAGTTTTGCACTCATCTCATGTAATAGTTAACTGAGATAACTGATAAGAAGTAAAATTGCAGAAATGAAATTTTCTCCAAAGAAATGCACTTAAAATTATAAAATTCTGTTTTTAGACTGAAGTCCCTATAGCCTTTGAGTACTTCATGGCTTGCTGTGTGATGGCACAGCATGGGACAGGTAAAGTGTAACAATGAGGGCCGGCTTGTTGGGGTTTCTGTCCCACCCAGTACCCCACAACTGGCAAGCCCCAAAGAAAATCACACAGATCTCCATAAGTTATAAAACTGATTGGCCCATTAGCTCAGTCTTCTTATTAACTCTTGTAGCTTATATTAACCCATTATTTTTATCTATGTTAGCCACATGACTCAGTACCTTTCAGCTGGGCAGGTTACTTCTTGCTTCTCGGTGGTCTGGGCTAGAATGGGAGGAAGGGGCTTCCTCCTTCCTAGCATTCTCCTGTTCTCGTCATCCTGCCTCTACTTCCTGTCTGGCTGATCCACCTATACTTCCTGCCTGGCCAATCAGCATTTATTTAAAACATGATTGACAGAGTACAGACCATTCTTCTGCACCAGTAAAGTCCTGCTCTGACAGTAATCCTGAGCTGCCTTTAGGCCCTTTCCTTTCCAAATTCTATTTACTCACAAATTAATGTGATGGTATTTATTGGTTAATATCACTTTTTGGCTTTATATTCAAATGTGCAAATTTTATGTAAATGATCAGAGTAATGGAAGTAAGCTGTTTTTCAAGTTAGGACTTGACTTCAAATCTCAGTAGAAAAGTATAGTGACAGACCTTTTTACTGTTTGATTGTTTTGTTTTAATTAATTAATTCTTATTTTTTGTTGTTTTTTTAAATTTATTTATTTATTAAAGATTTCTGTCTCTTCCCCACCGCCGCCTCCCCTTTCCCTCCCCCTCCCCCAGTCAAGTCCCCCTCCCTCGTCAGCCCAAAGAGCAATCAGGGTTCACTGCCCTGTGGGAAGTCCAAGGACCACCCACCTCCATACAGGTCTAGTAAGGTGAGCATCCAAACTGCCTAGGCTCCCACAAAGCCAATACATGCAGTAGGATCAAAAACCTATTGCCATTGTTCTTGAGGTCTCAGTAGTCCTCATTGTCCGCTATGTTCAGCGAGACCGGTTTTCACCCAGGCTTTTTCAGACTCAGGCCAGCTGGCCTTGATGAGTTCCCGATAGGACATCCCCATTAAAGACAGGGTTTCTCTGTGTAGCTTTGACTGTCCTAGAACTCGCTCTGTTCACCAGACTGACCTTGAACTCAAAGAAATCCCCTTGCCTCTGCCTCCCCAGCATTAGGATTAAAGGCATGTGCCACCACCTCTTGGCAACCCTTTGTTTCAAATTTATATTTTCTGGATTTATTTTCCTAAACATATAAATTCAGCAGATTTGGATCCTAAGAATGCAAAAAGACCTTTTCTGTTTGTATCTTTCAAGGCTGTGATGTTGCCCCCCAGGTCTAGGTACTTATAATTCATCTGGAAAAGATCTTAACAAGCTTGAGACAGGTATTTAATACCCAACATGGAGCTAGTACAGTCTGCGTGAGAGGTTTAGGTGGTGTTGAGCCCTTTCTGCCTCTGAATGAATGTGTGGTAACAGAGAGAGCATCCTGTATCACTTAGACACTTCGGACATTTTCACAGCCTGCAGGTACCACCCATTGTGAAGTGCGTCATAACAGCCTTCCAAGGTGGCTGGCAGGGTGGTTCTTAAGAACTCCAGGGCACAGCCTATTGCCTAGAGAAAGAAACAAGGGCAACACAGGAAGGAAGCTCTGTGTCTTTTCCATGTCAGCAGGGACCTGCACCTGCACTTGCTTCTGCCATTGTCATGGCGCAGGTCGAAAATAGAAATGTTCTACTGGGCTCTATCTGGAGGCCTGCCATTCAAAAGACAATACCCAGAAGAGAGAGTCAGCACGGTATCTGGTTATTTCACTTGGCCCCAAGAAGGTAGAAAGAGAGGTTAATAGGTACCAAAATTCAGTCTTAGGGAATGGAAGTGCATTAAAGGGGCCTTACAGGGAAAGACAGTCAGCAGCAGGCTTAATGGGCCTTGACCACTGGTATTTTGTTTAATTAGATATACTGTTTCTTGTGGTTAAAACTTAGTGTTAGAGCATAAGGAGGGGTTACAGTCCTATTTTATCTGACAATTACATGTGCTGGGTTCTCAAATTCAGAAGAGTTAATAATTTCATATCTTATAACTATATAGGTAGTTTTTCTTTAGAGATGAGAATTCAGGAATGATTAGGGGTGCAGTCTTTGCAAGAAGCAGATAAAGCAAAAGGCAAGGGGAGGGTGTATAACCTTGCAGAAATTGCTTACAAGGAGCACCTCTGTTACAAGCCCCAAATGAAGGGATGGCTCATTATTTCAATGATGCACATCTCCGCTATACAAAGATATCGGTCATAGTTTAGATTTTAATGTTATCAGTTTCCCAGTAACAATAGGCTTCATTATATCTTAAGGTAATAAGTTAAATATTCTTGATAGTCATTTCTCATTATATATCACAATATTTGAGCATCATAATATCACTGCTAGATATAATATATTGAGATGGTTTTGTGGCAGTACAGACAAATAAACACCCAACTCTCTGTGCTGAAACCAAAACTCTTGAGCCTGAGGAATCTCTGAAATAAAAGGACTATTGAGCTTTCATAGGTAATAGCCAAACAGGACCACATCCTGAGACAGGATTCTGCAACTTCCTTTTGCAAAGTTGGATAGCAGATGGAAACTGTTCACAGGCCTAGAGCAACTGATGGAAGCAGATGCAGGGATTCACAGTTAAGCCCTGGGCCGAGCTCCCCAGAGGCCAGTCTAGGAGTGTGAGGAGCAATAATATGAGCAAAAAGTAATACAATAAAGAGGTCAAGACCATGAAGGTGTTACCCAAAGAAAAAGCTTACTTCAACTAATGGAAGCTAATTGACTCTGGACTGACAGTGGGGGAACCAGCATAGGACCAAACTAGTCCCTCTGAATGTGGGTGACAGTTGTATGGCTGGGGCAGTCTGTGGGGCCACTGGCAGTGGACCAGGTTTTATCCACACTGCTTGAACTGGCTTTTTGGAGCCCATTCTCTTTGGAGGGATACCTTGCTCTGCCTACATATAGTGGGGAGGACCTTAGTCCTGCCTCAAAGTGATGTGCTAAATTTTGTTGACCCCCCCCCTTGGGAAGCCTTACCCTCTTTGAGGAGTGGATAGGGTATTAGGGGGAGGAGAAGGGAGTGGGAGGAAGGAAGGGAGTGGCAACTAGGATTGATATGTAAAATGAGAAAAGATTGCTTTTTAAAAAATAATTAATTAAAAAAGGAAAAAACCCTCAATCTTTTTATGTCACTCATTCTGAATTATCCAGAAGACCAAACCATTAAATGTGGGTTTCACATATGGAGTACATAAGGAATATAGTGGGGTAATTTGTTTGTTTTATAGACTGCTTCTGTTGCCTCATATGAAAAGACATTTTAGTGTCTTTTCCTACTTACCGTAATATGTTTTAAAGTGTTATGATTGTGTTTTAGTATGTAACA